GTAGCTGCTGTTAGTTAACTGCTAATGTAGCTACTGCTAATGTAGCTGCTGTTAGTTAACTGCTAATGTAGCTGCTGTTAGTTAACTGCTAATGTAGCTACTGCTAATGTAGCTGCTGTTAGTTAACTGCTAATGTAGCTACTGCTAATGTAGCTGCTGTTAGTTAACTGCTAATGTAGCTGTTGTTAGTTAACTGCTAATGTAGCTGCTGTTAGTTAACTGCTAATGTAGCTGCTGTTAGTTAACTGCTAATGTAGCTGCTGTTAGTTAACTGCTAATGTAGCTACTGTTAGTTAACTGCTAATGTAGCTACTGCTAATGTAGCTACTGTTAGTTAACTGCTAATGTAGCTACTGCTAATGTAGCTACTGTTAGTTAACTGCTAATGTAGCTACTGCTAATGTAGCTGCTGTTAGTTAACTGCTAATGTAGCTACTGTTAGTTAACTGCTAATGTAGCTGCTGTTAGTTAACTGCTAATGTAGCTGCTGTTAGTTAACTGCTAATGTGGGTACTTTAGTTAACTGCTAATGTAGCTGCTGTTAGTTAACTGCTAATGTAGCTGCTGTTAGTTAACTGCTAATGTAGCTGCTGTTAGTTAACTGCTAATGTGGGTACTGTTAGTTAACTGCTAATGTAGCTGCTGTTAGTTAACTGCTAATGTGGGTACTGTTAGTTAACTGCTAATGTAGCTGCTGTTAGTTAACTGCTAATGTAGCTGCTGTTAGTTAACTGCTAATGTAGCTACTGCTAATGTAGCTGCTGTTAGTTAACTGCTAATGTAGCTACTGTTAGTTAACTGCTAATGTAGCTACTGCTAATGTAGCTGCTGTTAGTTAACTGCAAACGTAGCTAACTGCTAATGTAGCTGCTGTTAGTTAACTGCTAATGTAGCTGCTGTTAGTTAACTGCTAATGTAGCTGCTGTTAGTCAACTGCTAATGTAGCTACTGTTAGTTAACTGCTAATGTAGCCACTGCTAATGTAGCTGCTGTTAGTTAACTGCTAATGTAGCTGCTGTTAGTTAACTGCTAATGTAGCTGCTGTTAGTTAACTAACTGCTAATGTAGCTGTTGTTAGTTAACTGCTAATGTAGCTGCTGTTAGTTAACTGCTAATGTAGCTACTGTTAGTTAACTGCTAATGTAGCTACTGCTAATGTAGCTGCTGTCAGTTAACTGCTAATGTAGCTACTGTTAGTTAACTGCTAATGTAGCTACTGGTAGTTAACTGCTAATGTAGCTGCTGTTAGTTAACTGCTAATGTAGCTACTGTTAGTTAACTGCTAATGTAGCTGCTGTTAGTTAACTGCTAATGTAGCTGCTGGTAGTTAACTGCTAATGTAGCTGCTGTTAGTTAACTGCTAATGTAGCTGCTGTTAGTTAACTGCTAATGTAGCTGTTGTTAGTTAACTGCTAATGTAGCTGCTGTTAGTTAACTGCTAATGTAGCTGCTGGTAGTTAACTGCTAATGTAGCTGTTGTTAGTTAACTGCTAATGTAGCTGCTGTTAGTTAACTAACTGCTAATGTAGCTACTGCTAATGTAGCTGTTGTTAGTTAACTGCTAATGTAGCTGCTGTTAGTTAACTGCTAATGTAGCTGCTGTTAGTTAACTGCTAATGTAGCTGCTGTTAGTTAACTAACTGCTAATGTAGCTGCTGTTAGTTAACTAACTGCTAATGTAGCTGCTGTTAGTTAACTGCTAATGTAGCTGCTGTTAGTTAACTGTCCTCCATCGATATCGGATGCTGCGTTCAGTCCTGCTGTTAGCTTCCACAACAAGTGTCGCCCTAACTGCCTGTTTTTACAAGATATAAGGAAATATGCAATAAACGCTCCGATTTCAGTTTAATGCCGACTTTAAGGTTTTAAAGGTGGAAATTATACTTTTATTTGCAAGAATCAGACACATTATTGTTCCAGTATTTTTATATGTCGTAATAAAAGTCTGGAGGAGAACTTTTAAAATAAAATAATTTGAAGGTTTTGTTTGCATCCTCTGAGGAGGAATAAAAACCGGTGTTATGAGACATTAAGAAAGTGTGGGTTGATTTTAAGGGGTTTGTCGTCGCCTCAGGTGGACCTCCTCGAAAATGAGTGATTATAATGTGTGAGACATTGTTGGAGGCAGTCTACATCCAAAAATAATAAAATAAATACTGTTTAAAATTCAGTCTGAGAGTCTACAAGACACGCTGCTATCTCTAATAATATTAACCTTAAACACCCAACCATGAATCCAATTAGAAGAAAAACTGCCCACTGAAAACTATACTGATATTTATGAGATTTAAAAAATAAAAAAGGTAATTCAGGTAGTTGTAATTGTTTCCTACATTCTTATAAAATAAATAGAATAGAAAAATAGTTGTTTTCCGAGAGACTATTATAGTCAACCTGCATTCTCTGTAACAACCAGCAGGGGGCAGATACCATTCAGTCTTATGGAGAAATGAGCCGACTTCTCAGTTGATTTATGAGCTCAGTAAACAGTTTCCTGATGAGTTTATGGTCTCAATCTCTAGTTTCAAGTCTTCTTCCATACAGCATGATGTTCATTTAGTAAATTATGGTCCGATATAGAGTAAACTAGACCATAAAGCAGGGTTTGCTTTAGGGGCGGGGCTACCTTGGGATTGACAGGTTCATTCTCAGTGAGTCCGTCCAGCTCAACGAAACACAAAAAATACAATAAAAACACCAAACAGTACACAGAAAATACACTTAAATACACAAAAAACAGAAGAAAATGCCCCACACTCAGATGAAACCTTTCAAAGTTCAGCCATAAAAAGATCCTGGTATCTCTGTGTAGTGGTTCCCAACCTGAGGGGTCAAAGCTTCATGGGAGGTCACTTTAAAAAGGCCTATATATCAGCATTTCTGTGAAGAAAACTTAATCGAATTGTTATTTTCGAAGCTTTAGAAATACCTTAAATTAAGAGACAACATATAATCGTCCTGCATTAGAAAACAACTAAATAGCTGATTGAATAATGAAAAAAAAACACTGAATCTGTGAAGAAATTAAGCTTTTTTAAGTCTGTATGTATGTGTTATGGAAAAATACTGTAAATCTCTGTTTCAATGTGTTAAAAATGAGAAACAAAAGCAACTTTTTCACTTCAGTAAAACCAAGAATGTTGTTTTTTTATTATTAAAAAACAGTTATTTTAAAGTGAATTTTAGTTCCTGAACAACTTTAACTGTGGAGCCACGTTGGAGTGAAAGTCTCTAAAGCTCCCTAATTAACAGATCGTATCGTGTTTGTTTAATCTGTACAAAAATAGAAATGTAAAGAGGCCAGTTTGTGTTGTTTTATTTAATCCATCCTTCCAGCTATTTGTGCAGCAATGGCAGAAAGATCAATATCAAGAAAATGCAGGAAACAATCTGCTCAAAATTCATCCAAATCTCTCGTTTCCTGCCGTCATTGAGTTAAATATTTGAGTTTGTTGTCCAATTTATCAGCTTTTCTGTTACTGTTAGTGAATATATGTGATTGTTTGCTGACAGCGAGGGTATAAATACTACAGTAACTGACCGCCGACAGTGGAATATACATAATAATAATGTTTAAAATATTTAAACAACACATTGTATTAAACAACAGGATTTTCTTCCTGTGCTTCCCTGCAACAAGAAATCTTTCAAGTGCAAATCAGGACAGTCAAAAATATCTTCAAGTCGTATAATTTGACCCAGTTGTTCAGAGAGACATCAACCCTCCCTGAAACTCTAATGATCAAGAGCAACTTATATCCATGTTGATGAATTAGTTTCTGTTAAATGGTTAATACAGTTGTCAGTGCAGATTTTAAAGGTCTGCACCGATTTAAGTCTTAATATAAAAGAAATACCTGAATCACTGACAGCCAGTAAAAACATCAAAATACATGTAAAAGTCTGAAAAGAGTCTTTCTGTGGGTGATGGATGTCAGTAATGTGACGTTAAATCAGTGTTTCATGTTCACTTGAGCAACAGTACGACGCTGTAGAGTGTGTCTTTTAGTAACAAGTCCATCTGGAAAGAGGCTACTAACAACAGTTACCTAACAGCGCCCAACATCACTGATAAAGCATACCCTGCTTTATGGTCTGTTTTACTCTAAATGGGACCATCAGTTACTAAATGAACATCATGCTGTATGGAAGAAGACTGAAACTAGAGACTGAGACCAGAAACTCATCAGGAAACTGTTTACTGAGCTCATAAATAAAACGAGAAGTTGTCTCATTTCTCCATAAGCTTCCATATAATCTGACTTCTTTTTGCAGCCAGTGTAGTCGCCCCCTGCTGGAAGTTAGGCAGAATACAGGTTTAAAGCTACGTCCACTGTTGGACCAGCATCTAGTGGCCATTCGAGGAACTGCCTTCAATATTAATGACATTTTCTGCTCTTTTTTATGTAGTTTTTGTATAAATATTAAAGCTTAAAGCTACAGGGAAGCTTTCAAACCTTTATGTGCTTCCAAGTACAAGTTCAGAGAACATTTTCTGTGTATAATTACCAAGTGTAACGATTGATCACGCTGACCTACAGCGCCATAAATCAGGGCTGTACCGTTCATTAATGTATTTACTGGGGCAGCGGTTCTGTTCATGAACGGCACCCTGCCTTTTATTGTGAAAAATCACACTAAATAACCCAGTGTGAAGCCATTTTAATCCCCCTGCAAAAGAAGAAGCAGAAACTCACAGACAACAAACACTACAGATTGCAGCAGCTTCATTATAATCCCATTAATTAAGGGGGGCGATTAATGCATCTTTAACCTTTTAAAAAGGCAGAAAATGCGCAAAAAAAAGCGCAAAAATAAACCTTTTGTCACATATTTCCTCTTTGTGTTTCTGCTCTGGAAGTTTTTGTGTTAAATTAGCTGCGGGGACTTTCTTCTGCCCCTCCTTCCTGCCCCAGTAGGGTAAAAAGGCGCATGTGTGTTATTGCTGTGATGTGAGTTGAGCCGCATCCAGACGCACTGGCCGCCGCTGGCTGACGCGCTCTCTCTCTCACTCTCACTCTCTCTCTCCTCTCTCTCTCTGTCTCTCTCTCCCTCCCTCTCTCTTCCTCCCCCCCCCCAACCAACCACCACCACCACTCTCACCACCACTACCATCCACCCACCCCCCTCATCTTGGTGGTGTTGTGCGCAAAATCTCCAGCGCCGGACGGACGGACGCAGTTTTTAACGGTACAACCGAGCGGCTCTGCGGGGAGGATATCCAAGAAGAGGAAGAAGAAGGAAAAAAAAAAAAAAAAAAAAAACCAAATTCAAAGCAGACATGGATATTTAACGCACATTTGGAGGTTTTTTTTTTTTTTTTTTTTAAATCTCTTTGTGGGGTTTTTTCTTTTTGTATTATTATTTTTTTACAACCCCCCACCCCCCCACCCCCTTGTGATGTTGCTGTTGCCCCGGGGGTGTTAATTAAAACCTGCTCGATGTCTCTCATCAGTTTATAACCGAAACAAAATGAGGATTTCTCTCCGCGACTGGTTTCTGTTGATATTCTCTGGCTTTTGGGGGCTGACAATGGGTGCTTTCCCGACCAGCGTTCAGATCGGTAAGTGTGGTTTTTATTTATTATTATTTATTTGAATATCATTTCCGACCAGAGAACAGTCATGTGAATGAATCTGTGGACGTCCTGTCTGCCGCCGCCGCCGCCGCCGATGCTGCTGCTGCTGCTGCTGAAGCCATTTAACACCTCAGCACTACTCAAAGTGGAAATTGTTGATTTTTTCTCTCCTCGTTTCTTCTGCGAAAAAACAAAAATATCAGCATGCACAACCGGGTTCTTGCCTGGATGCATGTTTCTAAACACACACACACACACACACACACACCTCTAATGCGCTTTGTATCTGCAGGCTGGATGTGTATCCCGGTGCACTCCGCCACTGCAGCAGATCAGAGCAGCAAACTGTGTGTGTGTGTGTGTGTGTGTGTGTGTATTCCCTATGCAGGCTGCCTGTGCATTGACTGCTGTTAACACTCTCGCAGACTCGGGGTCCTGCAATAAACCTTCTGCCACCGTCCCCCCCAATAGGCTCCATGTTTCTGCTCAGCAACTTAACTCAGTGTTTGCTGCGGGAGGGAGAGTAAAGATGATGGATTCATGGTTTTCATTTCACTGGCAGCCAACTGGATTGACTGGGTTGATTTAAAGGCAGGGTGGTGGAGGGCGGGGGGGATGAAGAGAAGGGCAAACTGTGACCTCCAGTTGTTGATCATGACAACCCTCCCTAAAAAATAAAAATCAATTATCAGCCTCACAGACTCACGTTTAAACCCTGGAGATTAAAATCTTTCCTCCTGCAGTTAAACATCCGACTGACTTTGGTGTGTTTTGGTGCTCTGACCCTCCTCTGCTCCCATCAGAACCGGTCAGACTGATGGAAAATGACAAGCTGTTCAAATGATTCTCCTTGTCCTTTTATATCAACGTGATACACAAATCCCCACCCCTGTCTCCCCCTCTCCCCCCGTCCTCCCGGACCCCTCCAGCAGGGTCAGAGGTCAGGGTCTGTTACAGAACAGCACCCCTGGAAGTGAGGACACTTGAGCTGGGTGGTTTTAAACCTGCTGTCATGGTGAACATTCAGGAAATGATGTGCTGCTGGTGAATCTGAACAACTTATATATTTAAAAATTATAACCTCTGGGAGTGCAAAAGATCCACAATGCACCAGTGTTTGGTTTCCTCACACCAACCACACTTCATTTACTTTATAGGGTTTTTTTTAGAGCCACTAACAGAGCTCCGTCAGAGAGGCCAAATATCTCTCCAACTCGTCAGTTTCAAATAATTGTGGCTGAAAAATCGACACTTATTAGCAGTGGGGAATAGTGTGTGTGTGTGTGTGTGTGTGTGTGTACATAAGCCTGTAACACAGAAACAAATACAGTAAACAGCAAACATGCAGCCGCAGATCAATTCTGACACCAGTGATCCTGAGAATTAGAGATCCCATTTTTCATACATTTTTCAACCCATTTGTGGCCACAACTTAAATTTCCTTTGGTGGGCTTTCCTAAGCACAAATCTGAAGGGATTTCAGTATTATCACAGTATATTTAGTCTTTGGGGACATGAGATTACTGTTTATTCCCCCTAAAATGGTAGAAAATGCTCTGAATAAGCAGAATTTGTCCTGACTAATAATAGTTGTGTGCAACTTTTTTTATATGGAATATACAGATAGGAGGACTCACATGTGTGTACTAAAAATAATACAAATCTCTCAATTTTTTACTGCTTATTCAGAGCATTTTCTACAAGTTAGGGGGAATAAACAGTAATCTCATGTCCCCAAAGACTAAATATATTGTGATAAAAGATCAACTGTATCTTAGAAACTACAAGGAGCACAAACAAGTATCTGATATCTATGAACTCATAACAAGTTAAATGTCAAAGATATGCACACATATGGAATGATAAAACTATATTTCATATGGAAAACATTGAAAAAACACACAGTTTTTCTCATTTGTGAAAAATCCGGATAAAAGTGTGATTCATGTTATCTAAAAATCTCAAAGCTGTTCTGTTACATACTTCTATAAAGTATGTCAGGACCAAAGTTCAAGACTTCAAGCAAACATGTTTCATTAACATACTAAATATATTGTTTGCAAATGGGTTAAAGCGTCATGGCTGCCAGTCTTTTCCCAGCATGCAGTACATGGAGGACAGAAGTGGGGGAGACGTCTTTGACAGGGAGTCAATCCATCACATAAAATAAAAAGCATAAATATTCTCAGAATAATCATAAAAATGACCAAGATTTAAGCACACTGGTTCAAATCAACCTTCAAAGTGAACCAGGATTTTGAAAATTGATGTTTCAATCAACACTAAAAGTCCTGTAAGGATTTACAGGTTCTCCTTAAAGCATGGAGGCAGGGGTGCTGCTGGGACCCAGATTTACTGGTATTTATGTCAGGAAAGAGGTTTTTGCCTTGTTTTATATCAGTTTTACCTGCTAAAAAGTTATAAAATATGTGTGTAAAATGTTGTTAATAACTATTAAATAGGCTATAAATGATGACGTTCAAATTAAAGCCAAAATCATGAATGTTGCGCATTTACTATGACGTCATTATACAGGCAGACTTTCTCTCAGCTCCCTGAACTGACTTCTCTGACTTTAAGGGTCCTTGAAGCTTTACAATAAATATCCTAACATCAACTGAGTGGTCTGTCTGTGTGTGTGTGGATGTAAACTCTGATTTACTGACACCACACTTACACCTGCACAGCAAAAACAGCCTTTCTAGAAACAAGCCAAATATTCTTAAATATAGTACATTTTTCTTTTATTGGGCAAAGAAAATAAAAAATCTAACCATTCAAAGACTGTAATGGACATAAAAACTAAAGGAAAGCCAAAATGAAGCAAGTTGTTCTTATTACAAGCTTAAAATAAGTATTTTGATCACTTTATTGAGCTTAATTTAAGAATTTGTTCCAGAAGCTTCTTATTTTTATCCTTTTTTATTAAAACAATGAAAAACTAAACAGCTGCTTCATTTCCAACAACTGGGACCAGACGACTTTCTATTAAACTGAGTGGTTGTGTGAGTGGTTTTACTCTTAAAATAAGGACAATAATCTTGTTCCTCTGCTGGGATATTATACAAACCATTGTTGTTTCTGGTTAAATTGAGCTCAATATTAGCTGTAATATCGTATTAAGACAAAGTTTGATGTATTTTCTTAAAATCAGATTACTTTTCTAATGCAAAACATTCTCGACAAGATTATTTTTCTTTTTAGACCAAAAAAATAAGACTAAATTCCCAGAAACAAGACCTTTTTTTACTTTCTTGAGATTTAGTTTTTGCAGTGTGTGTTAACATGAGTCTGAATAAGGAACATTAAATGCACACAGAAGTGTTTGAAACACGTCTGGATGAGGCTCACACCGAGACTGGATCTCAGTCTAAAGCTGCTTGTCAACTACACAGACAAACCTCTTCTTCTTCAGAGGAAAAATAAGTACACTTCCTGAGACTCTCGAGGGGCGACGTGGAAGAAGAGGGTCACATGACCAACAGAGGTGGTCGAGCTTCACAGTGCGCTACCAAGCTTGGCTCTGATTGACCTTCTTACAGTTAGTTAGTGGGGAAGGAAACAGGATGGCTGTCTCGTTAACTACTTCCATCATCAGCTCCGGAAATGCAGACTGTTATTTATTTACCCATTTGCACCCAAAGACTACGTTTAGTATGATGCCATAACGTTTGTTCTGGTTGGTCTAAAGTCTTGAAATTTGGTGCCGACATAGTTTCGGCGAGTATCTAACAGTGCAGCTTTGATATTTTTAGATTACATGAAAAATCTCACTTTTATCAATGGTCAAACATGAGGAAAAATGCTCATGAATCATATGAAATTTAAGTTTAACCCTCCGTATGTGTGGATATATTTATCATTTAACTTGCTGTGAGTTCGTAGATACCAAATACTTGTTTGTGCTCCTTGTAGTTTCTGAGATACAGTTAGTTTATTATTACACTATATTTAGTCTGTGGCAACATTTAACAACAGTTTGTTTTCCTAAAATGGTAGAAAACTCCCTGAATAACCAGTAAAAAGTAGGGATTTTTAAGTAAATAATCCTGATGAAAAATCAAATAATGTATTATAACATTTCATAATTGAAGTGGATAATGAGTGAGCCACCATGTTTACTTCTCATCTCCTGTTGAGAGTTGCACATCGGATCGGGGAGGAGGTAGAGAGAGAGTACTGACACCAACATTATAGTTAGAAAGGCTGCCGAAAAGTCGCCCATAGGCTGTTTTCCATCGGTCACGTGACCCTCGACTTGCACATCCTGTAGCGACCCCTCGAGATTATCCAGCATTACTTGCCTCGACCTACGATAAGTCAGCCGGCTCTCCCCGACGAATTTGCATTTGAAGATCAGATCAGGAGCAGAACTGAGATAACGAGAACACTTTTTAAATACCAGGTGTAAATTCAAACACCTGTGATCCAGATGTCATGATACAGATAACGTATACCGGGAGGAAATGGGGTCAAAAACAAACCGGTTCCTCGGAGCCACGAGAGTCTTGTTTTTGGAAAACCAGATGGCATTTATGAAACTTCAAAGTCTCTGGTTCCCTACAGTGTGTACCGTTGTACTGAATCTCATTTTGTGTAGCAGAAGGGAAAAGTCATAGCTTGAATAAGTGGGATTTAGGTCAGAGCAAGATTTTTATCCTCTTTTTAATTAGCGGCGATGATAAGATTTTAAATTTTAAAACGTGTAAAGGGCATTCCAACTGATCGGTGGCTAAGATAATGAAAACGTTCACACCGTTTTTATCAGGAAATCAACACCTCCTGTGAGCATTTGGTAGCAAGTGTGAGTCAATGGGACATGAAACCATCACTACTGTTGTGCAAAAACATGTGAGCGGAGTAAAATATTCTGAAGTGTACCTTTTAAAAGAGGTCAGCCATAAAAAGAACACTGGCATTTTGCTTTAAGTGACATTTATATGGTCTCATCCCAAGAAATACAGCCTTAAGTTAGATTTTCAAATGTGAAACAAACTCCTTCCAACCTAAAACACTGCTGACATTTGCACAACCATGAACAGCGCATCAAGATCTTAGTATATGCACGAGGCTGTAATGTAAAAAAAAGAGAAAGAAAAAAGCAACCAAGGGCAAAGTCTTATCTCTGATGCCAAACTGATTCTTGACAGTGAAGCTGCTCTTGCGTGAAAAACTGAATGAAAGATCTGTGTTGATCCAGAAGGAATATTTGGTGGATAATATATCCCTTTTTCTGCTCGCATTAATATGAAACAAAGGTGATTTACATGCTTAATCAGACACATCGTCACAAAGCCTGGCGGTGCTTTAAGAGCCACAGGGTTGCCATGCTGTAGGATTAACACTGAATTGTCAGCAGTATAGGATATTGGCAAAGTGATTTACCAGACCAATATCGGCTTTTATTACATCTCATAAATATCGTCCAGTCAGTTGAGTCCACCTCTAATATGATAGAGGTTCCTCTCTGACCACAGCTAATAAAAAACAGTCTGTGAGAACCTGCTAAAGTTTTGGTAAAAGGTTTGTTCAAATAATATGTTTACCTGAAAAGATCCTTCCCAACTTTAACCAAGCAGGTAGGTTTTTAAGCATTATGGCAACTGAAATATCTCAATAAGTATTTGATGGATTGCCATGAACTTTTGCTCAGGCATTCTTGGTCCTCGGAGGATGAATTCACTTTGGTGCTCCCTCCACTTTTCCTCGAGTTCCACCACCAGGTCAAAGTTTTTGCCTATCCAGTGAAATATGTTGAGGGTGGACTGGTTCATTCCTGGAGGATGTATCCTACCGAGGTTGATCGTCTGATTTTTCCTCTAGTGCCACCACCACAGTGAAAAGTCTCAACAACTGGATGGATGGCCGTGACATTTAGTACAGATGTTGATGAAGGATGAACTGTAGTAACCAGCAAACTGTTGGTTCCACACTGGTTTGAGATTAGGCACCGGCTCCAACCCGGGCCGTCAAACTGCCTTGCTGGAAAAGGGGTAAATCTGAACAAAATAAGCGTGTGCTTTCAGTTTTTTGACACAGAGAAGAAAAATCATGTTTTCATAAAATCTCATTTGTATTCAAACTGGTGGAAATCTGCAGATAGCAGTGAGATTGTTTCTGTAGTTTTTTTTTTGCCTTCCCCTTTACTTGTTTCACGTCTCCGTGCTCGTCAACAATAATTGAACTACTGTGTAGTTTGATTGTGGATTCTTCCCTGTTGCTCTTTTTTCTCCACATGCTCCTCATCAGACCTGTGTTTCTCCCCCTCTGTTCAGGTGGTCTGTTCATCAGAAACACTGATCAGGAGTACACTGCCTTTCGTTTGGCAATCTTCCTGCACAACACCAGCCCGAACGCCTCGGAAGCCCCATTCAACCTGGTGCCTCATGTGGATAACATCGAGACGGCCAACAGCTTCGCCGTCACCAACGCCTGTAAGTCACATGGCTTTATGTTGTGGTTGTACACTTTGGGGTTTATGATCACTGTACAACAGGTAACGGTGCCCTGTGTGAGTTAACCAGACCTGGGTCTTAACAGGATATATGACAAACAAATATAACTCTTTATTTAAAGATAATTAAGATTTATAAGAACTGGGGTCTTATTTTCACATTAATGCTGATAGATAAGAATAACGTACTCACCAAGTGAAAGGAACACTTTACAATATTATTTGGTAAGTAGCGGGAGATGGGACGTGGTTACATCATGTAACTTTATACACGAATGACACAAAGAACAGACATGTTAATCAGTTTTAGGAGTATTTTTTTAATTTTGAACAGAACCAGGTTAGTTGTTTCCCCTTTGTGCTACGCTAGGCTAAGCCAGACTTCAGCTTAATGCACAAAGAAATTAAAAGACCTTTTTTATTTCAAAATGTTGAAATGTTTCGTTAATTGCTGCAATCTGTAGTCCAATGAACAACCAGGTTAGTCCAACTTATTTAGAAGAGAAAACAGACTTCCTGGGTCAGCATTTATTTAACATATTTACCAGAGTTGTGTGCACATATTTCTTTGTGTAATCAAGGGACTACTTTTCCCACTAGCTGAACGTTTGGCTTATTTACCACCTGTCTGATACTCAAACTGCTTGTGTTTGTTGCCTTGTTGGACCTATTTTTAGCGACTTTTTCCTTATTCCTAGATCTCAGCAATTGCTTTGGTGAGTACAATGACATCATAATGGATAAAAATGATATGTAAAACTATGAAATAAGACCCAAAGTGTAATAAACCGGAATTATCCATTTAAAGTTGGACACGCTTTGGCTCTATTATGATGAATAAGCACATTGTCGTAATTATTAGCAAACCTAGAACCAGTGTTAGTGGAGGCATTAGTAGAAATAATGATAGAAATAAAGTTGAAAAAGGTGGAAATGTTGTAAATGTGTTTCCCTCCTGCTGCTAAGAAAAACACAGCTGAGTGTGTTTATGTGTGTTTGAACGTACATGTATGTGTGTGTGTGTGTGATGATGTGGCAGTACAGCTGTGTCTGCTGGTTCACATCTGATCTGAGCAAAGCCGCTCACGCTGAAGGGGACAGCAGCTGTAAACACACAAACAACAATCACACACTCCGCCACGGTTAGATCTCCGAACGGTAGTAGGCAGTGAGATTTTTTAAACTGATGATCCCGAGGGAAACGTCCTCTTTCTTAGCTGCTTTCTCTTTGTGTGTGTGTGTGTGTGTGTGTGTGTGTGTGTGTGTGTGTGTGTGTGTGTGTGTGCAGGAGGTGGGGGTTCCCACAAAGACCATAAAACACTGCAGCCTGATGTCTTCTACTATCTATGGTGTGATCTAGTGTTAGAAAAATCAATGGCTAAATTAAGCAGAGAATGTGTTGTTATGTTTGTTTGCCAATGGAGGGTGTGTGTGTGTGTGTGTGTGTGTGTGTGTGTGTGTGTGGGTGTGTGTGTGTGTGTGATGACCACAGAGAGATTTCAGAAATGATCTCAATCTGTGATCAGACTAGGAGTATTTTTAAAGGTCTTGAGGTATTTAATTCTACGTCAAAAGGCACATTTCGGTAAATTAGCACCATTAAAAGTTTGCTGAATTAGCTATTAGGAGTTCCTGTTTGCAATGTATCCATGGATGTACACACAACTACCACTGGATTACTTTGATACGGAAGAAAACTTAAAAACGTGAAGATTCTTAAGCAAGTTCTGTCACAAGCTATAAGGAGTCTTTTTTTCAATGATTTCTAAGCAGATTTCTAGACATGTGGTTGAACACTGTAGATGCACTAATTATATCATTGGAAAGTGTAATTTACACCGAATCTAAAAATATGTGTATCATGTCTGTGAGTTTAGATTTGACTTGAGTTATGACTACAAGCAGTACGAGTGTTGACGCACCACATCAGTATCTTTAGTCTCATATCTCTTACTCTGTCTCTCTTTTGCAACATTATATTTGCTTTCCTCCGGTTTTCTCTCATCGGAAACCTTGAAACTACGCTGACGTAAGCATTCAGCTCGAATGCTTTTATAACTGGTGCCGATGTATCTGTAAGGTTTGGCTTATTAATGACCTCTAAGATGAAATTACAGTAGAGATCTCATCGGGGAAATGAGCAGCCGATGCAGGGAAAAACAGAGAAGTAGGTTATAAGCACGAGAATAGAATATAAATTAGCAATTAAAACAATTTCAGGGTGATATATATGTTTATATGTACACACATAAATATACAGCTGACAGCTGCAGTATATTTATGGTGGACTTTGGGGAGAGAGAATAAATATTAATGAGTACGTTTGATTATCTAAAGGAAACTTAACACATACTCATAATGATGAGATCCAAACTACTTTTTATGATCTACATTATTTTTGCACAATTTGCACAAAAGTCTGATATAATAAGAGACCAGGGTTGCAGAATCTGATTGCATTTTGCTTGTATTTCACTTACAAGGTTACACCAGCCTCAAAAAGCACAGTATTTTGTGTCCACCCGATCAATAAAGATGCTGAAACGAGGCGGTGAGACAAGAGAGCAGCAGTTGTCCTGTACTGGATTGCTTGAATGAATGTAAACGGCGTATTATATATCCAGGAACAGAAGAAACTATGGGATTTTTCACCTCTAGTCTAATGGCTGCACAGTCACAGGAAGTGTGTCTGCAGCGCATTGATTGGCCAAGCCAAATCAGAGCAGAATTACATGAGCCAATCAATGACTCTGATAGCTCAGGGCCAGCGGGGAATCTGAGATCGAACCTGCATCGCTTGTTTTCGCCCCCTCCTCTCCCTCCGTTTTTTTTTTTTTTGCATTTTCCCGGTGTCTTTATTCCACCGTTTTCACTCATCCCCCCGGTTTCTCTCTGCTGTGAACGACCCTGAGATAACGGTTATGAATAGGTAGCGTTACCATGCGACGTTTAAGGGCATAGCGTACGTTTGGGGAAGGGGGAAGATGAGAGAAGGAACTAATTTGTGAAGAAAGATTAGACCATTCAGCGGCTCGGCGTGCTGCTGTCAGGAAGGCTGATGGGGATAATTGGTGGGAGGATGGGGACAAATGTTATTGTATGTTCCCATTGTCATTGATAATCGTTCTGTAGATGCTCTGATAAATTCTCTCTCGTTTTGTTTGATTCACTGTATAGTCTCCATATTATTCGCAGCGGGGTAACTGGTGTTACTGGCAGCAGATTTAAAGCTACTAATAATATTTTGTTTGTTATCCCACAAGTTGGAAAGGTCGCACTTTCGGTAGTTCACACAGTGATGTAATGTATCAGTATCAAGTTAATTGTGACACCTCGGTATAATTAGCATTAACAAATGAGACGCCGGTTGAGGCATTTGTTATTCTCTGTGTCGCAGCGGTGGTGTTCAGTGTCTCCCACAGGCGGAGGATTTATTTTGTGGTGCTCAACTCTGTGGGGGCAAATTGGGCTTCTGCCAACAAATGGACTTTTGAGAATAGTTTGACTTTCACAAAGGGAATATTCCAAGATGTGTAAATGCAATCAGTTTATTCTATTAAACTTGGTATTCAAATATTTTCCTGTTAATGTGTTCGAGCAATGTTCTCTTGGCAGAAAGAATATAATAATTATAGATATGTTTTCATTAGCGTATAATCACCTGTATATAGGAATGTTTTTGTTACTGTAGAGGGGGTCACCTTCTACCGCCATGTTTCTCCTACTTTCTGCAACCACAGCCACTAAATCCTGCACACACTGGTCCTTTAAACAAGGAAAATTTGTTGTCATGTGATTATTAGTCGATTTAATTGTTAGTCGATGAGTCTCAGTCGACCCACTTTTGCTATTCTTGTTGTTCTGACACATTCAGAATTGCTTTTTTATGTTCTCATTTAACCCTGTAAGACCCAAATACAGAAAAACCTTTAAAAAAAATTAATTTACCTTTCAGATGTTGTTGTAGGAGGCCTTTGATGCAGAAATTAAAGAGTTTTTTAAAAAAAAAATGTTTATGTACTTTTACAGAGAAATGTTGTAATATTGCAACATTGGGCTTAGTTGGGAGCAGAATTTCTGTATTTGTACTCACGTTGTCTGAACAACAATTCAGAACAACTAAGGGTTCATTTGCAGGGTTGATTGCTTACTTAGCAGCATAAAGGTATATAACATTAATAATAATCACACATTAGTCATATTTTTATGAAGTCATTTATTAAAAAAACTATTAAACAGGATAAAACTCTAGCTTTTTCTAGCAACTTCTTCATTCCTTTTTTTCTTTTCATGACTGACTTTCATTGTTCCCAAGTCCCAAAAACAGTTCTTGTCCTCTGAAAAGCAAAGGCGAACATCACACTTGCTGCATTGCGTGTTGGTGTATCCTTTATTGCAGTGTCTGCAGCGTCCCTCCCTGTCTTCACTGGGAAATGTGCAACTAGGTCCTTGCGTACATCCAATGGGAGGTGTGCACATCTCTTGGATGGTCTCTTCTGAGCATTCAGAGGGCTTCCTGATGTCACTGTCTGTGATGCTGGGCTCCCTTTGCCTGAAGATGGTCGTCCTCTCTTTGGAGTTCGAAGTGTTGTGTTTACCAGGATGAGAGAGGATGCTAGCTGTGCCTGAAACTGTCTCCTGTTCATTGTCTCTTTGCTAGACATCTTGAGAGCTTTGCAGTCCCGCTTGTAGAGGAGCCAGGCATTGACCACAGCGAGGATGATGGTGTGCCAGAAGATGTACATGTACCAGCGACAGGATTTGATGGGGAACTCATATTTGGCTGTAAATGAGTCCAACAAATCCATACCTTCCATGTACTTGTTGTAGGCACCAACAATGTAAGGCCTCTCAACTTCAGTGTATGTTCTGGTGGCTTTGTCCCAGCGTTGAATCTTCTGCACAGGTTCAGTTCAAGCAAAGGATGTGTGACGGCCCTGTTGTCATTCCATTTGACAGCACAGGTGTTGTGATTCCCCT